AGCAGGAGCACGTACACACTTCTTCTGGTATATGACTCCAGCAGGGTCCCTGAAGCACTGATTCCAGGTGTGTGGCAACAGGGTGAGCTGGGTCTGGGTGTGCAGAGTCCCTGAAACTCCAGGTCCAATGGGGTCCTAAAGTGCCCAGTCCCTGAAACGGGAGCCCTAGATGCAGGGACCAGTGCACAGAGTCCAGTTGCGGTGTTGCTGGTGCTGGAAAGCGGGTGGTCACTGAAGCTCTGGATCAGGCATGCAGGATGCGGACCAGCATGAGGTCCTGAAGCTCTGGGTCCAGTCACGCAGTGTCCACACACATGGGGTGCTGGCACAGTGACCAATCACTGGTATGTGGGGGTCCTTGAAGCTCCAGGTCTGGGCATGCAGCCACCGGGAGTGTATGGGGTTCTGAAGTGCTGGGCCAGGCCTGCGGCTACCAGGCATGCTGGGTCCGGGCATGGAGTGTCTCTGAAGCTCTGGTTCTGTGCACGAGGAATGGACACACAGTGTCCAGGCGAGCCAGGTCCTAGTACATGGGGTGCTGTCATATGGGTTGCTGGCACAGAAGCTGGGTGCTGGAGTGCTTGGGACCCTGAAGAGCCACATTCAGGCGCACCACCACCGGGTGCTCACAGGGTCCTGAAGAGCCAGGTCAGGCATGCGGGGGAGATGCACAATGTTGGAAGTCTCTCTGTCCTGCTGTCCATCCAGGGAGCTGCCAGCGAGGTAGGGTGCCACTCACTGCATGAGTGGCAGACGAGCAACTCACTGCGTGGTGCAGGGTGGTGTCAGGGGGCAGTCTGGGTGTTGATGTCACTGTGCTATTGGCCTCTAATGCTCCCCCTTCAAGATGGCATAGGCTCTGCCCCAAGCCAGCAGCAGGCCCATTTCAGTAGCAGGGGCTCCATGTCCAGGAGAGCCCTTTCCACCAGTCCCCAGACTCCTGTGAGATCTAACTGTCCCTCACTCACCCACACACACACCACACCCATCCACACCCGCCTCTCTTTCTCCTTTACTCACTCACACGCTCTCCCTCACTGCCATCCTGCTGACCACCACTTTGGGATATCCCATAACTTAATTTTAGTTACTTTTACAATAATCTTCAAAAAGAAATCAATTTCTCTGATGGTGCATGAGTTTTCCTCCATCCTTTCCAATAATACATTACACTACTCTCATTTTAAAAACAAATATAATTTCTTTATTTCCTATAACTAATTTTCCTCCAAACTCTGCTCTACTGGGCTGAAAAAAATGTCAGTCTAACCCAGTGACTTATTCATGTTCTGGATGAGTCAGTCTTCCAGGCATCTCTTCTCTTTTTATTCTTCAAAATTATATGCATGTGGGTGGGAATTTAGGAATCTCTTATGGTAGGTGAATATAGAGACCTCCAATCTCTGTGGTGTCCTATGGAATTTTTGCCTCTGTGGTAGAATAACAAGACTGAGCTGAAGTGTGATTATTTATGGCCCATGTAGCACAATGTACTGGTAGCTCATCTGTTAGAAATGTGATTCTGGCTACTTTTCTCTTCTGGGTCTCTGCCACTGTCTGGCTCTCTCTGAGAATCTTTAGCTTTCACAAACACTTAGAAAGTTCTGCAAGCTCTGACTTTTAAGACACAAGGAGCCAGAACACTGCCTTAGGCACATGTATCTTGCTGCCTAATTTTGCCAGTACCAGTGCCACAATTACACACTGTTGGATATTTCTACATGATACCCTGAATGATTCTTTAGGGTCTCCCTGAAATTGGAAAACCTAGGATCCATATACCTGTTCTCCATCCCTTTTATTTTTACTGTAGGTCTAGGAGTGTGCCTTTCCTCCTTGTCTTTCTTTCTAGAATAGACTTCCTTTCTAAAATGACATTTGCATTGTTAGCTTCCCTAATTTAATGTAATCATTTTGTCAGTCTTTTCCAAGAAATCATTTCATACCCAGAGTCATAAAGATAAAAATCTTATAATTTCTTCTAAATTTTATGTATGTCCATTTTTAAATTTGGATTTTCAATAAGCATAGAGTTGATACATCTGTTTATTATGAGGTAAGAACTTGATTATTTTCAATAGGAAAATGAAGCTATTACAATCATTTATTGGATAGTTTGTTCTCTGTTGGCTTCTAATTCCACCTTTGTTTTACACCAAGTTTCCATAGGTGCATGGATCTGTTTCTGGTGGTCTTTTGTGTTTTATTGGTCTTTTTTCATTTCATTTATTTTTTCTGTTAATACCACAATTGTTTTACTCATTATTGCTTTACAACAAGTTTTAATATGTTAGTCTTATACCTATACCTGTTCTTTAGTTACTCTTGTCACTTTGCTCTCTTCTTGAATTTTAAATTATTTTTTCATATCTAATGAAAATTTTTGGGGGATTTAAAGAGAATTTTGTTGCACTTACTGATGGATAAGGAGGCTTGAATAAACATCTACTTCCAAAGAGTAGTCAATTGAAAGAATATATGTATGATTTCTTTATAGATACTTATACATACTTTATAGATACTTACTTTATACATGAAGCATTAAAAATTCACTAGAATTGATATGGATATGGGGTTTTCATTGACTTAATCTGCAACAGGATGTACACTTTTAGTTTTCAAATTGAGTTCCTTTTATCCGGTTATTTTATTTTACTATGTAGTTACTAAAAGCTCAGTGCATGAAATTCATGCACTAGGGTGGGGGTGTTTCTCAGCCCAGCCTGTGACCTCTCGCATTCTGGGACCCCTCACTCCTTACCCCCCACATGCAGCAGAGGTGGGAGAGGCTTCTGCCACCGCTGCTGTGCTTGCCAGCTGTGAGCCTGGCTTCTGGCTGAGTGGCACTCCCTCTGTGGGAGTGCATTAACCACCAGGGGGCAGCTCCTACATTGAGCGTCTGCCCCCTGGTGGTCAGTGCACATCATAGCGACCAGTTGTTCTGCCATTCGGTCAATTTTCATATTAGTGTTTTATTACATAGGATTGCATATCTAAATATGGAAGTGCACACAACATTCCCTATAAGCAGTGGCATGAGGACAGGACCTATGCGTGAGCTCTTCTGAGAACCCCATCTACCTCAGGACATCACACTCGGCCTGCAGGAGGTGCGCTGACCGAGGTTTTGGCTGAGTTCTGGGGGCTGCCTTCCCTCCCTCCCTCCC